GGGCTCCAGTGATCCTTCTGCCTCAGCCTTCCAGTAGCTGGAACTACAGACGTGCGCTACCACGCCCAGCTAATTTTTGATTTGTTGTAGAGATGAGATCTCATCAAGTTGCCCAAGCGGGTCTCGAACCCACGGGCTCAGGCAATCCACTCACCTTGGCCTCCCAAAGGCGCGGGATTACAGGCTGAGCCACCGAGCCTGGCCTAACATCCCTTTTGACAATCACCCACACACCTAGACACAAACGTCTTCACTGTCCCTCCCACTCAGTCACATAACCCAATTTGGGAGAATGAAGGTTCATTGGACTCACTTTTCTGCCATCTCATAAAAGATCATCCGGTCAAAGTTGCTGGTGCGGTCCCACTCCTGCACAGCCCTTGGCAGTCCCTCCTCCAGGGTCATAGTGGGCTTCAGCCGGGCCAGGGAACGAAGCACTGGGCTAAAATCCCCACTGAGTCAGTCACGTGTTCTAAAAGTGTGCCCCCCACACCCCACGGTGCCATTCATCTGTCCCAACACCCACATTCCCTGCCTCTCACCTCTCACCACATCTAATGTGTCCCTCAGTCCCTGTCATGTCCCACTTCTGATTGCATGCCTAGACTGTCAACCTCCCATCCATTCATTTACCATACTTGCCTCTTTACTGTTGAAATTTGCAAATCTCATGCAAAATCAAACGTGATTCTACTCCCTACCTTTTGAGACCAACCACAACAACCACCCCTAATTCTTAAAATGCTATCCTTAGCTAAACACTAGTGTTTTATAGTGAATTTTTTTCACTGTAAAGTAGGCTTAACCCTGACCAGAGGCTCTTGCATTAAAAAAAAAATTCCCTAACCCAAATGAATCTCGAATTAAAGGTTATATGGTTTTTATTTATTGGTTTTTCAGTTTCTTTGTTTCCAGGATACCCCTACAGACAGCCAAATACCAATACAAGACTGCTTCTGCAAGGAGCCCTTTCTGATCCAGAAGAAATCAAGAGCCTAGTAGAGTGTACCTCTTTCTTGCTAGATCTTTTCAGCATGGAATTTGTACATCTTCTAGGCTATGATCCCATCACAGGAAGGGCTTAATTTTTGCCTTTCTGACTTCCTTTTGAGTCCTCAAACATTACTGTGCTTTAGAATCACCTGGGGAAGCTTGCTGGGCCCCCAGAATCGCAGGGCTGAGCATTTTACCAGCTTCCCAGTTTGCAGCAGTCTGGACTGCACTTTGTAGGAGGGATGATGTCCAGAGCCTCTGAGTGTGAAACACAAGCAGGCCAGGACCCAAAACGAATAGATCCCATGCAAACCTTGGGAGTCCATACTGGCTCAAGATTTAGAAATTCAGTCTGCCAGGCACTGAGAAAGAACTCAGAGCAGCAAGATGCTGTACAACTAAGGCTTTAGGGAAGCCTCTTGGGTCATTTGCTCTAGGATTGGGGTAGAGGAGGTTTTGTTTTTGTTTTTTAGAAGTTTAGCCACTGGAAAAGCACCACGTACTTTTTTTTTTTTTTTTTTTTTTTTTTTAGTTGGTGTCTCACTCCATTGCCTGGGCTCAATCACAGCTCACTGAAGCCTGGAACTCTGGGGCTCAAGTGGTTCTCCCACCTCAGCCTCCCCAGCAGCTAGGATGACAGGTGCATACCACCATGTCCAGCTAATTTTTTTATTTTTTGTAGAGATGAAGTTTCACTATATTGCTTGGGCTGGTCTTGAACTTCCAGGCTCAAGTGATCCTCCCACCTCAGCCTCCCAAAGTGCTTGGATTACAGGCGTGAGCCATCATGCCTGGCACTTTTTTTTTCTGAGTTGGAGTCTCACTCTGTCACCCAGGTTGAAGGGCAGTGGCATGCTCCTGGCCACTGCAGCCTCAACCTGCTTGGCTCAGGTGATCCTTCTGCCTCAGCCTTTCAAGTAGGTGGAACTACAGACACGTGTCACTGTGTCCGGTGAATTTTTTTTTTTAATTGTAGAGATGAGGTCTTGCCAAGTTGCCCAGGCTGGTCTCAAACCCGCGGGCTCAGGCAATCCTCTCACCTCAGCCTCCCAAAGTACTGAGATTGCAGGTGTGAGCCATCATGCCTGGCACATTTTTTAAATCTTGTAAAATGTTGTATGTGTTATATAGTGGCTTACAAAAAATGCTTAGGGTATAGTGCAGTTGAGAGAGACAGCAGGTCTGGGTGAAAAGAACACACAATTCTTCAGATGACTAATGACTCTGCTTTATAAACAAAACAAATAGCTTATAACACTAGGCTCCTTGCATTTTGACCTTTTGTGAGTTCTCCTCTTCTAGATTGTCTTTTTTTTTTTTTTGAGTTGGAGTCTCACTCTGTCGCCCAGACTGGAGTGCAGTGGCCGCTCCCAGCCACCGCAGCCTCGACCTGCTGGGCTCCGGCAATCCTTCCGCCTCAGCCTTCCAAGTGACCAGAATTACAGGTGCGCGCTACCACGCCTGGCTAATTTTTTGATTTTATTGTAGAGATGAGGTCTCGCCTGCCCAGGCGGGTCTCGAACCCACGGGCTCAGGCAATCCACTCACCTCAGCCTCCCAAGGGCGCGGGATTACAGGCTGAGCCACCGAGCCCGACTTAGATTGTCTTTTACAATAATAATAAAATAGTTACCATTTCATGAAGCATTCTCCATACCAGGAACTTTGTTGAGCACTTCATATATATTAGGGCATTTAATTTTTCTCAGCAGCCCTCCAAAGTATATATAATTTTTCCCTTTTTAGATGAGAAAACCGAGGGCAAGAATGTTAAATGTTCTGCCCAGGATTACAAATCTAGAGCATGGTGGAGCCCAGGCCTTTAATGATAAAGCAAGCTCTACTACCACCTATTTCAACTTGAATTACCCTGAATAAGATGGGGGAACGGGGGTAGCAGAGGGAGGACACACACCAAGTCCTTTGCCTAGCTCCGCTCTGTCCTTCCCATCCCACAGGAATGGGTCAGGGCCCAGCACTCAGCTGGGCTGGTTTAGATGGCTCAACTCAGTGTCAGAAGATAGAAAAGTAGACCGGGAGGATCTCGGTACCTGGAGCCAGAGATCTAAGTTCCAGTCGTTGGTCCTGGTTTCATGACAGGAAACCTCTCTGAGCTTCAGTCTTCTAATTTGTAAATGAAGATTACTATAAAAAGGCTTGCCTGAACTCACAGGGTTTTGAGGATCACTTAAGAGAAAACACCTGAAACGTCGTTATAAACTGGGTAGTGACTGAAGAGGTTGATTATTATTATTATGTTTTTCATTCTCATATCATCTCCATCATACTCGTGATCTGCCTCAAGTATTCCTAAATAGCCTAGGTTCATCCCAAAATCCTCTTTTTAAAAAAGTCCTAGAATAATTAACCTCAGGTCTCCCCACTTACATAAGAAAACAGGAAAGAGCTTCTGTATCAGGACTTTGGGATAAGTGCCTCCGGGCCAAAGCTTTGTATCGCTGCCAGCGACGGAAGTTCTCATAAACACCCTTGGAAGTACAGGAGGGGTCACCCAGTGAGGACTTGGATCCGGCAACCACAGGACCTGCGTCCCCAGTTGTCCCATGTGGCCCTGGCCGAGCCTTTTCCGGGGGCGCCATGGTGGCCAGTTGGGCAGCCGGTGGTAAAGCCTGAGGAGGAAGACCTGACAGGCCCTCCTGGCTCACTCCAACAGACTTAGTGGACAGAATGGTCTTCACATTAGAGGCTGTCATAAATTGAGGTGGAAGACCCTCAGGGTTTCCACAGGCAATCCAATTGAGGGCCGTCTGAGTAAGGATAAAGTTCTGAGTTTGAGAGGGCTCAGCTGGTTTCCCTTCAGTCTTGACTTTGACAATGACCTTGCCAGCCCCAGCCCCTGTGGGGCAAGGGTCCCCGTCCTCTGTCACCAACAGTGGGCTGGGGAAAGCAGAGAGCACCAGAGGGTTGCCTGGAGAGAATGCTGAAGGCATGGGAGATTGTGGAGATGGTTCCCAGGGTGGTGGGTCTGGTAGGCCAGGAGTAGGTGGGGGAAGGGGAGGGGCAGTGAAAGGAGACGGGGCGGCACCAGGTTTCATGCTTATATCCAGTCCCGGCAATGGAGATGCTGTTGAGACAAAGAAAAAGAAGGAATGAAGTAGGAAAAAAGAAGACCAGAGTTAGGCCAGCTGAGCTCCCCTTTAGACCCTGAAGACTCAGAGCACTGATTCTCAACAGTTGAAAAGGGGATATAGATCCCCATCTATATGCGTTGTTTGCAAATGTTCCCCAAGTGATTCTGATATCCCTTACTCCCAATTGAGAATGACTGCACTAGAGAAGTTGCTCTTTTCTCAGAGACATAGAGACTCCTGTCTGCCCTGACGAGACAAGCCCAAGCCATCACTGCCCTAAGAGCTTCTCTAAGAAAATTCCTGGCAGACCTTTCCTGCCAGCCCCATAGGCTGCTTACTAACACATGGAATAAGACTGACACTTATTCTGCAGGGAAAACAGCCCACAGCAGGCTTAGTGCAGTAGGGGAACAAGGCCAGGTTAGGTTATGCTCCTCTGGAGGCACCCACAATCTCCTTGAGAAGGAGATTATTGACCCATTCCTTCTTTCTTTTCCTTTTCCTGTGGCTTCTTATAAATCTCCCCTCTCCTTTCCTACAAGAACAGAAGAAGGATGCACTCTACAAGCAGAAGCAAGGATTCAAGGACCCATGAAGCCCATACCCCACAACACACCCTACCCAGCATATGTGCATATGTCCTATTCCCACCTATTCTAAACAAGAGATTCAAGCCACCTGAACCTTGCTTGCTCCCAGCTGCTCTGTGGCCCGACACCACTCACAGCAGTGCTGTTCCCAGGAAAGGGTATGCGGATTGCATGTTTGGTTCCCAGAAGTTTGGATGTATAACAGACAGGAATAACTGGAGAGGATTAGATAAGGACCAGGAAATGGGTGAGAGAAGGGCATTATGGGGAAGAAGCTTTCCAGAGCTTTAAGTAATTGTTGGGTATGTCAATATTTGGTTGTGCAGACTATGTGAGGTCCTTCTGCTTGGTGCTTGGAGCTCCTAATATCAGAAATTTGGGGCCTGCTAGGAACAAGGGACTGATCCGGGTACTAAGGAAAGAATAAGGGCGTCTAGAACATGGTTCCTGCTGAGGAGCTATGTGGACTCTTATCAAGGAGACCAAGGATAAGAACACAAATGTACTTAATTAAACAAGACCTGTGTCTCCTAGGATTTTTAATAATAATAATAATAATAGAACATACTCTCCCTGAGTTCATGCTACTCTCCTCCCTCTGAGGAAAAAAATTATAAATATATTACACTGGCAAACTAACAATATTCTGCTTTCTGACCATGGAATATGAGCAAACTCAGATTCAAACTCATCTTGGCCATAGAGCACAGAGCCAGTAGTATGCCACATAGTACTGAACATAATAAAAGGGGCCTGAAAGCCTGAGGTCTGCAAAAGGAAGACACACTGAGAGCAGCTCGAGGAAGCCCCAACTCTCAGCCAGACTGGAGTAACCCACCTCCGCTGGCCCCTGATGAATCAGGAAAAACTGCTTCCTGAACTAAAAGAGGAGTCACCTCTGGGGCCAGCAGGGACCTTGAAGCCCTGAGCAGAGACAGTTATAGTACCTCACAGCCTTGTTTTCAGAAAGACATTTCTATACAATAGAGAACTCCACTGGACAATTTTCTGGCTAAGGCCATTCATCTCCCCTGCCCTCCCCTCCCATTCTCCAACCTCTACCTTTCTTTCCCTCGTAAGCTCAAGTATAGCCAGAGCTCAGTTCCCAGGGAAAATTCTTAGAGCAGGCTCCAGTTGCCTAAAGAAGACAGAGCAACTTGGGCCTTCCCCTGAACCCTCTCTGTGCCACTCCCAGGACATATACTTCTGACCATCCCCCCCCCGCCACACACACACACACACACACACACACACACACACACACACACACACACACAAACACATACTGAAGTGGTCCTTGTTCCAGAGAATCAAGTTACTAACTGCCATCCATTCTCTATAAGCAGCATGTTTCCTCAGAGGTGCTGTGATCAGCCCCTAAAAAGGCCCTCTTCCTTCCCCAGCCCCTAGTCTTAATGGTACAATCTTCTTTCCCAGCCTCCCCCAGAGTGAAGCCTTACATCTCTTCAGGTCAACCTTAAGAGCTAGTCCCTAGATGAAGTGTCAAATTTCAATCCCAAGGGCTTGAGCAAATGGGAGGGAACTTCCCCACCACCTGCAGACTTACCTCCATCTGAAGCTGTCCTCTCAGGTTTAGGCACTAACTGTGACTGTCTGGAAGCCTAGAATTAGACAGGTGCAGGAACCAAAGAGTAACCTGGCTCCAGTTGATAGGGATCCAAGGAAGGGATGGTAAGTGTTAGATCTAGAACTCAAGGCATTCTGCTGTGGGGGAGGGGATAGGGAAAGATGGGGGGGGGCGAAGATATGCCATGGAAGGTTCTAGTAAGTAGGCAATAACCAGGAATTCTCTCCAAACTAGAGCTTAGCAACACAATTGATGTGTACCTCTTAAAGGGCAATTTATAAATTATCAGATTCCCAACATTACAATTTTATCTTTTGGTTCCCTATCTAGTACTTATATTCTTCACCACCATATCTTATTTTGTGCTTTTCAGTTCCACCTAGTTCTATAACTAACTTCCTATTAGTAGCAGGTTGGTGGTAGACCCCTCTTAATTCAATGATGGCTATGTTTTCTGAATCAGATTCAGAGCACATTGTCTGTACACTTAAGGATCAAGAAAACCAGTTTGATATTAGAATTGTCAGATGATCCAAGGTGTTCAATTGCTGTATGCATCTCACTTCTTGGGAAAATTGTCCTGCAGTCACCAAACAGTCTGCTACCATAAGCTGTGCAGTCCACAGAAGCCACACCCTTACATAACCTTGCTGAAAAGTCCCACTAAACCTAAAAGCTGTCCTGTAGCCTAAACTTTCAAGATCAGAAAGTCCTTCTTTGTCAAATTATTTTGTTCTTAATTTTTAAAATAGGTAATACATTAGCATGGTTCAAAAGTCAAACTGTGCAAAATACAGCAGCAAGTGTACCATACTTCTTCCCCCTGTAATCAAGTTCTCTATCCCAGAGGAAGCCAATATCATCTGTTTCTTGTGAATCCTTGCAGAGATATTTTATGCAACTACAAGCGGATCCAAACCATAATGTTAAAAAAAACCTTTCAGGTTTTTCTGGTTACAAAATTAATATATGTTCAATGTTTTTGTCATAAGTAATGCTGTAATGATCATCTTTGTAGTGATATCTTGGTTCGATTTTCATTTCTTTAAACTAGAGTTCTATAAAGAGAATTTCTACGTCCTTTTAAAAATTCGAAATACTCCTAGAAGGCGCACCTTATTAAGCTATTATTAGCTACTCACCACTATAAGAAAGAACGCAGAATTTGCGGTAAGAGACCTGAGTTTGAATCACGATTCGACCACTAAAACATACTTCACCGGTTTCATAAAATAATCCTACGCTGTCTTTGCTTTGCGGAATATTAAATACCCAGCATGCACTCTTTACCGCCAATACTTTTGAAATGGAGCGGGGGAACTGGATGTACAAGAGGGGAGGGAAGAAAATCTCTTGTTTCCTCCCGAGCATAAAGGGGCTCCGAATCCTGGAGCCCTTGGCTTCTTCAGGTACTAGAAACACAGTGCCCCTGAAATGGGCGTACATTTTGGGATAAAGACAGGATTCTACACAACAATGTTCAACCCACATCCATCCCTACCCCCCTCTAACACCCGGCAGTGCCTAGCACACAGTGGGCACCCTCCACGTGTTTTAGAACTCCAGCAATGTTGCAAGTGGGAGCTCCAAGGCCAGTCCTGCTCTCGTGCGCCCCCTCCTGGCCACCCGGCCAGCTTCAAATAAAGAAAAATGGACTACATTTTCCGGCATGCCTTGGGACACGCAGGAAGGAAATTGACAAACACGCGAGGCGATCGGCCGACCGAGTGGCAGACGGAGCTCAGACGGCTTTGGAACCTCGTCACAAGTGTGGTCATGTTTCTCCAGTATTACCTGAACCAGCAGGGAGAGCGGGTCTATACGCTGAAGGTGAGGCGAGGAAACAAGTTATAAAGGGGCATGGCGAGAAATGCGGATGGGAAGGATGGCTGAGACTGCACACCAAGTTAACTAGCTGCGTGCGGGAAACTAGAAAGCCCAGGGCGCGGGGAACTAGAACCAGGGGGGCATGACTTCTTTAAATTGTGTTTGTTTGTTTATGCATGCATGCATACGACTTTTTGCTCTCATCATCGCATCTCCTGTCTTCACGTTTGCCCTTTTCCGCGCTACCGCCTCCCCATCTCACCACTCCTGTGCTGAGATCGTGTTCTCTCTTCCTCAAGCAGAAATTTGACCCCATGGGGCAACAGACCTGCTCAGCTCATCCGGCTCGGTTCTCCCCAGATGACAAATACTCGCGGCACCGCATCACCATCAAGAAACGCTTCAAGGTGCTCATGACCCAGCAACCGCGTTCTGTCCTCTGAGAGTCACTTGTATTTCATGAGGTCTCTTCTGCCGCCTCTTACCATCTCGGAGACTCCGTAACCAAACTTAAGTCTGGGAGCCATGATGCCTTTGGAATCCAATCGCATATGTTCTCGGTTCATGCTTGTGTGAGGCAGACATGGTAGCATTCCATAAAGAGTTAAAGGGAAAACTTGTTCCTCATAAAGGGAACAAGTTTAACTCTTTAAAAATATCATGAATTTTACCAGGTTATTAAATATAAAATGATTAGAAAGAGCTCTCTGTGTGTCTAACTGGAGGAAACGATTGATAATTTTTCTAAAAAGCGGGGGAGATGAGAGTACCCCCAGAGAGTTGAAAAACTTTAGTACTGATAGGAGGGTGTTGGGGAAGGGGAAGAAAAGCTAAGAAAGAAAGAAAGACTTCAGAGCCGGCCTGGGCCAACTCAAAAAAAAAGAAAGAAAGAAACACTTCACAATTGTCAGCATTCACCGAAAAATACTTCTGTTGTCACTTAAGTCATTTCTTGCCCCTTGAAATAGCATTATGATTCAAAATGGAAGTGTTACTTTAGAAAGTAATAGTAGTGTATTGTAGAGGGCAGAGAATTTGAAGTCAGGAGACTAATATTCTTTCCTCTTTATAACTTTGAGAAAGTTGCTTAACCAGTTTAGTCTCCTTTTTCTCCTAATTTATAAGTTCTTTTCTGACTCTTAAATTGTTCAGTGGTGCTTTATCTTATTTGAGTCAGGGTCTCACTCTGTCACTCAGGCTTTGAGACGGGATCTCACCCTGTCACTCAGGATGGCAGGCTCACACTCATGCAACCTCGACCTCCTGGGCTCAGGTGATCTTTCTGCTTCAGCCTCCTTGTAACTGGGGCCTGTAGCGGGTACCGTGGTCAATCTTTCTTAATATATCTACAGTGTTAATTTAACCTTTTTTTTTTTTGAGTTGGAGTCTCACTCTGTCGCCCAGGCTGGAGTGCAGTGGCACGCTCATGGCCACCCCGGCCGTCGACCTGCTGGACCCCAGCAATCCTTCCACCTCAGCCTTCCAAGTTGCTGGAGACACAGGCATGCGCTACCACGCCCGAGTAATTTTTTGATTTATTGTAGAGACAAGGTCTTGCCATGTTGCCCAGGCTGGTCTCGAACCTGTGGGCTCAGTCAGTCCTCTTGCTTCAGCCTCCCAAAGTGCTGGGATTACAGGTGTGAGCCACCGTGCCGGGCCAGTTTAACCATTTTGAATGGGAATACCTTTATGTGTATTTACTGCTCCTCTGGAAATTTTAGTTCTCTCCATCAAGGAATTATCGTTTTACACATATAAAGTTAGGTAACTTTATGGCAGCTAGGCATATGGAACTGTACACAAATCTTAATTTAGAAGATGGGGTTTGAGAGACTCAAGTAGAGATTTTTGGGCTTTGTTTAGCTACTGCTGTAGCTAGCTAGGTGAAGTTTCTTAGGACTTGAGCTATCATGGGGCAGCCATAAATGATTTTTTTTTAAATTGGAGTTACACTCCGTTGCCCAGGCAGGAGTGCAGTATCACACTCCTAGCCACCGCAGCCTGGACCTGTTGGACTCAGGCGATCTTTCCACCTCAGCCTTCCAAGTAGCTGGAACTACAGGCGCGCACTACCATGCCCGGCTAATTTTTTGATTTATTGTAGAGATGAGGTCTCACCAAGTTGCCCAGGCTGGTCTCGAACCCCATGAGCTCAGGCAATCTTCTCACCTAGGTCTCCTAAAGTGCTGGGATTATAGGCGTGAGCCTCCACGCCCGGCCTAGGAATTTCTCATTTTCTAACCAGCATCTTTTTAACCAGATTGGATTTGGTGCGTCATTTGATAGAAGAATATCCTGGCTCAGGTCTTAACTACGGTTCTCATTGCTAAGGATGCTGCTTAAACATTTGTACTTCTGAGGAGCAAAGATCTAGGCAAAGCCAAGGGCTAGTTCTGGGCCCAGATTATTTAAATTTAGAGTTCTAGATCAAAGTTATAGGAGATAACTTCAAAAAAAATTGATGAGTCAAAACTTATTGGACCCCTCTTATTTATGCATTAAATAAACACTAAGAATGATATTCTAGTTACAGTAAATGTCACTAGGGAAATTACTGAGGACAATTTTCAGAAAATATCTCCAGGTGTAAAATTAATGTTTTCTTTAATGAAACTTTCCATACGACTAGAAAGTGGACATAGCATCTTTTAGAAGGACAGGAACAAGAAAAAAACGCAACACAAAATATTCTTAAATTTGAGGATGCAGTGCTTTAGACTAGACCTCTACACGAAGTCTACAATGAGGGTCATACCTAGGTATTGGTGTTGGGATAATTGTGATTTTTAAAGAAATTATATTTTCAGAAACACTCTTATTCAAATGATATGGCACTTCAGGTTCTGCGAGTGAAGGGCGTCGCGTGCTCCCCAGGATGCCTCCATAATGAGTTTGCAGCGCAGCCGGACCCAGAAAGGTTTTCACGGCGGCATGGTTCGGGCCCCGCATCGGACTACCATTCCCGTCGTGCCCCTGGCCTCTCGCGCCCGGCCCCGCCCCTCACCCACGACGGCCCCCGGCGGGCGCAGGCGCGCGGCGTTCTGTCACCGAGGGCCGCGGAGGCTGGGCGGGGCTCCCGGGCGCCCTCGGGACGGTGCCGCCCTCCAACTGCTCCCCCAGGCTTCTCTTCGGAAGGTTCACCTCGAATGAGGAACGAGCGGGGAGGGAGAGGAGGGGCTGCGGCGGCGCGGGCACTGCCAGCCGGGCCCGGGGCGGGGGGCGGCGAGGTCACGTAACGGCTGCTCTGGCGTCTGGCCGAGGAGGGTGCGCCCGCCCCGCAGCCCGAGTCCTGCGCGCGCCGCGGCTCCGAAACAGTTACCGGCTAGTAAACAACAGCTGCGCGCGCACCCGCATCAGCTGGCGCCGGGATCCCGCACCTGCGACCTCCTCCCCCGCTCGTCCCCGCCGCCCCCTCCTGCCCCGTCAGGGCCAGCCTGCGTGGCGGTCTCCTCTTCTGCTGGAATCCGACGGAAGCACCGCGAGGGGCTGACCTGCGCCGGGGCCGAAGTAGGGGAGAAAGCGACCCCAGCCAAGGGCTAGTCCGTCCTGTCACACGCAGGAGGAACCTGGCGAGCCGACCGTGGGATCGGTGGACTAGCGACGACCTGCCACGACCTCGAGCTGCGGACCGAGGTGTCTTGATCCGCTAGCCGCCTTCTCCCAGATCCCAGGGACCATTCTGCCAGAAGAGCGGGCGCGCCACCCCCGCACACCTCTCGGAGGCAGGCATCCGCTCTGCCCCTGCATCCTCTGCTCACCCTTCTTTCCTCGTTCTCCTCCATCCAGTAGTGTGGGTTATTTTTCCCGTTATGCATGCGCACCTTTCCCACCAGACCCAAGTGGATTATCGACCTCAAAAACGTCGGGTGGCTCTGCACACGCCTCCTCCCAGCCAGACCTGTGAGGTCTTCACCTGATACACAACAGGTGGCCAGGTGTACATCTTTTCGCAATCTGATCCGCGCTATATTCGCCTGATAAGGGTGGGCCTGCGCGCGCTTCACTTGACTAGAACCGTGGGACATTCACCCGATAAAGGACTAACTACCTCGGCAGGAACCTGGGGCTTGAGGGGAGGGAGGTTTCACCAGCTGCTCTGAGATGGCATTGAGCCCTCAGCCCTGGACCACAGGTGATAGCTAGGCAACTCTTCATTCTAAAGGAAAGAAGTCACACAAGATTGGTATCGTTTTGTTCTTTTGTTTTTCCTTAAAAGATATTTTTCAGCTATTGCTGGCGCACTTTCTAGGACAGTCAGCTTGAATTCTGAGTAGAAGGATTCTTATTTGGGGCTTTTTGTGTGGTGTGAATCAAGGCAATTGAGCTTTTTTTTATGTTATCTTTTCTATTTTTGCAATCAAAAGTAGCTAGTGTAGGAGGAAAATACTGCGAGGTTTTCCATTTTTCTTTGTCCTTAAAAAGGAAACGAAAAAAAAAAATGCATCCTCCAGAAACCACCACCAAGATGGCTTCGGTTCGGTTCATGGTGACACCAACAAAGATCGATGACATTCCAGGTTTGTCAGACACCAGCCCAGACCTCAGCTCTCGCTCTAGTTCCCGGGTACGATTTAGCTCCCGGGAAAGTGTGCCTGAAACAAGCCGTAGTGAGCCTATGAGTGATATGTCTGGGGCCACCACTTCACTGGCAACCGTTGCCCTGGATCCAGCCAGTGACCGGACTTCTAACGCCCAGGATATTACCGAGGGTAAGTAGAAACACAGGCGACAGGATACTTTCATTACTGGTTTATTTATCCAGGATGACCTACTACGACTCTACTGGGAGGTCATTTCCCATTTTACAATAATGTAAAATTAGGAACCCTTTGAAATAATGGTTAGCATAGTGGGCCTTTGCGATAGTAATTTGATATGTGGAAAAGTGTAAGGCAAGAAGGAAAGTAAACATTGTCTAACAATTGAAAGGTGTATTTTGGTTACGGGTGAATGTCAAAGAATGGATAGTTGTTCAGCACAGTGAATCCTACATTTTAAAATTAACTCGGTTAGCTGTGTGTTCACTAGCCAGCTCTGGCTATTTCCGTCTGTGTTAAAGGCCAGTTCCAAAGAGTAGTTACTGATCGTATCTTAGTACCCTTCCTCCACAGACTTTGGATGTGTACTGCACAAGTCTTCTTTGAAATTTATATTTTTATAGAGACAATGGCCCCAACAGCTAAGATACGCAGGGCGATGGTGATGGAATGTGCTATTCTGTCGAATGGAGGAGTTACAAAGAGACTTTTAGGGCCTGATTCCCGTGTAATTTATTTACCCTGAGCTTTAGATGAAATGTCTTAAGTATTGAGCCTCTGTAGTCAGCAAGTAGCATGCCAGTCACTCCTGGCTCATATTGTTCACTGCGGACCTTTAACTTCCTAAACCAGTTTGTGTCCGCTGGCTTGGCTTCATTTGGTTTAGTAGGAAGAGGTAGTAGAAGAGAGAGCAGAGAGAAAATGGAGAGGTCATAACATTTTTCAGACTCTGTCATTAAAAAGTTTGAAGACTCCTGTACTACTTTATATATTTAGTTTTACACTATATTCTAACTAATGTAATCTTTTACTAATAAAATTTCCCTTAAGACTCATAAAGACTCTTGAAAGTATATTCTACTTAAGTTTGGCAACAATAGTCGTAGCCACTGACTTGCAAAAGTGAGGCTTACTTACTATTTTCCGGTGTCAGGAAATATTGTTCCTCCTAACCTAAAGGTTCAAGAAACCAGAATACTTTTAGTTCCTTAATTTTGTTTATGTTTTTAACGTCTGGAGACAAGGTAGACTTAATAAAGTTTGTAGTCCTAGAATTCACTTATCCTTGACTAGTCATTTCTGTTATGGAGATACTACAGGTTGGTTCCCAGACTTAACTGTTTTCAACTTCTTGACAAATTTTACACATTATAAAAGTTACAGTATGAAATAAAAAATAATTTGTCGGCTGGGCACAGTGTCCCAAGCCTGTAATCCCAGCACTTTGGGAGGCCAAGGCAGGAGGATTGCCTGAGCTCAGGGTTCGAGACCAGCCTAGGCAACTTGGTGAGACCTCGTTTCCACAATAAATCAAAAAATAAGCCGGGCGTGGTAATGCGCACCTGTAGTTCCAACTACTTGGAAGGCTGAGGCAGAAGGATCAACTGAGCTCAGCAGGTGGAGGCTGCAGTGGTGGTGAACGTGTCACTTCACTTCAGCCTGGGCGACAAGAGTGAGACTCCAACCCCCCCCAAAATAAATAATTTGTCATTTCCTCCTCCTCCAGATTCTAAACTGTAGTTTTGATTTTTACAATTTATTTTCGCAAATAAATTGTAAAAATATCAAGTAAAGACTGTACCAGTAGTTTTTTTTTTTAATGTTGTAATTGTCATCGGGCAATTTATAGCTGAGTGTTGTTAGACTTGTGATTTACATGTTATGGAATAGTATTTTTATTCTTTTAAAAAGTGGACTTATTTCAGTGATGTGTTAGATTTGCAGACAAGGATCCTGTTCTTATCTTACCTTCAAGCTATTCTTATCTTTAAGCATTCTTTTACAGTCTAGAGTGGTATAGTTTTACGCTATTGGTGCAAAACTGGGGACATGTACAGGCAAAATCTATGTTGTTTATGCAAGTACAGAAGTTAAAGCTTGGCTTTCTATATAATATATTCCTTACTTAATATTTAACTATTCTCTGGTACCTAAATGAAAGGGAAACTAACAGTCAATCCATAAATTTCCTCTGTTTTGATGTAACTAGCTTCCTACTTTCCCACTGACCTATTTTTTCAAAGCTTTTCTTTCTATATTTTAAAAAATTTGGCTGGGCTCAGTGACTCACTCCTGTACTCCTATCACTTTGGGAGACTGAGGCGAAAGGATTGCCTGAGCCCAGAGCTTCAAGACCAGCCTGGACAACTTGGTGAGATCTTCTCACTACAATTAAAAAAAAATTAGCAGGGCATGGTGGCACATGTCTGTAGTTCTGGCTACTTGGAAGGCTGAGGTGGAAAGATCACTTGAATCTAGCAGGTTGAGGCTGCGATGGCTGAGTTTGCCACTGCACTCCTGCCTGGACGACAGAGTGAGACTCACACTGGGGAAAAAAAAATTCTTATGATGACTGCTATCATGTGATATACATTTTTCTCATCATTCAAGGGAACTGGTTAGAAACAAAATTATTTCACCTTTGTCTTCATAGTATGTGAATGCCCTTGTGAGATTTAGATGTAGAGCTTCAAAGGATGCTGTCTTCAAGAAAAATTTTTTTTCTTTTTTTTTGAGTTGAAGTCTCACTCTTGCCCAGACTGGAGTGCAGTGGCCGCTCCCGGCCACCGCAGCCTCGACCTGCTGGGCTCCGGCGATCCTTCCGCCTCAGCCTTCCAAGTAGCTGGAACTACAGGCGCGCGCTACCACACCCAGCTAATTTTTTGGTTTATTGTAGAGATGAGGTTTCGCCAAGTTGCTCAGGCGGGTCGCGAACTCGCAGGCTCAGGCAATCCACTTACCTCAGCCTCCCAAAGCGTGGGATTACAGGTCTTCAAGAAAATTAAGGACCTAATATTAATATGTCTTTATCTCTAGACTGACTGTAGTATAGGAAAACAGCTACTTCCTTTTTCACATTGACTCTATCTTAAGCTCATAGTGAATTTCAAAATTATGTTTGCTATTTTAATATTTACAACTGTGCATTTTTTGGCCCTTTCTACATCCTTCTGTGGTTGTGACGTCTGATTCTTCTTTCCCTGCAGTTTCCATGCCTCCCACGTTTCCTCCTGTAGAGAAACTTCCCACCTGAGGTTTCTTTTCTTGTCATTTGCCTTTATTCATATCACATCACACAAACAAGGGGTAGCAAATGAAATTCTAAATACTTATTTCTGTGTATTAATTTTTTCTGCTTTTGGGCTTCTTATTAGATAATTGTCTTTCTGCTATCGAAGATGCTTTTCTTTCATTTTGGTAAGGTTTCATTTGAATTTGTAGGACTGTCCAGTTGGTAAAATCAAGAATCTTAACATTATTTAGCTTATGCATGAAGAATGCCTTAAAGATACATGAGAAACTGTTGAGGGTAGATACCTCTGGAAAGTGAGTTATGAAAATAGAGTAGAGAGTGGGAATTTTCTTTTACTGAAACAATTCAGAGGGCATGTACATTTTTAAATAGAGTGCATCACTTTTATAATAGTTTTGTGAGGACTAGCATATTTGATGATCTAGAATCTAATCTGGTCAAACCTCATTTTAATAAGCGAGGATACTAAGGCTTGTAGAGATGTTTATTTATAGATCACATAGTGGCAAACTCACATCTGAAGCTCAGGCCTCTTGACTTCTGTCCACTGCTTTCTTACATCATTTTGGCTCTGCCATGATGGACATTTTTAACATTTGGTTAAGTTAAGTTATTATTAAAATAATGCTATCAAAGGAACATATTTTTATATGTCTTATGTGGATCCTAATGTATTTCAATTTTTTATAATTCAACAAATACTCCCTGAGACTCTGACGTGTGTGAAGCAGTATGAATTGTAGGAAGTATAAGATATAATTTCTGCCTTTGTGGCACTTATGGTATAGTGGTGAAAATGATTGGACCACTTTATCCATTCCATCACCAAACATTTATTATTATTATTATTATTATTATTATTATTATTATTATTATTATTTGAGATGTGGTCTTGTTCTGTCACCCAGGCTGGAGTGCAGTGGCATGATTTTAACTCACTACAACCTTGAACGCTTAAGCTCAAGTAGTCATCCTGCCTCAGCCTACCAAGTAGCTGCACCACCACGATAGGCTAATTTTTAAAATTTTTTTATTGTAGAGACTGACTCTTGCTGTGTTGCCCAGGCTGGTGTTGAATTCCTGGCCTCTAGCAATCCTCTCTCTTTCGCCTCTCAAAGCACTAGGATTGCAGGCATAAGCCACCATACCCAACCCAAACATTTATTATGAGCATTTATTAAGGGTCAGGCCCTGTGCTGGGTGTTAAAGTTGCAGAACTGAGGAAAATGACCCATTGTCTGTTTTTTTTGTTTTTTGAGTTGGAGTCTCACTCTGTCACCCAGACTGGAGTGCAGTGGCATGCTCCCGGCCACCGCAGCTTCAACGTGCTCGGCTCCGGGGATCCTTCTGCTTCAGCCTTCCAAGTAGCTGGAACTACAGACACACGCTGCCACGCCCAACTAATTTTTTGATTTATTGTAGAGATAAGGTCCCACCAAGTTGCCCAGGTGGGTCTCGAACCCACGGGCTCTGGCAATTCACTCACCTCGGCCTCCCAAAGCATGGGATTACAGGCTGAGCCACCGTGCCCGGCCCCCATTGTCTGTTTTAAGGAAAGTTATGATCTAACTGAAAAAGCAAACAAATTTGTATAGAAATCACAATGCTGTCTGATGAGTGCAACAATAGACAAAAATACAGAAAAGGAAAATGATGAACTGAAGTAAAATGGTCTGAGGCACTAAGAGACTGAAGGACTGGATGAAGTGAAATATGGTGAAAGATGTGGAAGGATTAGACTGTGGTCAGATGGTTGAATATTCGAGTGAATGATTTCAGAGGTGGGGCATTTCCTGTGTCATGTGATCTAGTGTGTAGCTTTGGGAGTGGATTTCTGAAATAGGGTGGAAGTAAAAGATAGTTGAGGCAAGGAGGTCTAAGTATACCAACTGTGAGGCTGGCTGTTACCAAATTTTCA